AGTTCCCAGGAAAATCACGTAAATCGGGGAGGCTTATTGGGGTCCTTTTTGGATTGTGAGAATAGTGGATTTAGGGTTCTTTTCCCCTCCTGCTGCTCTCTCTGTTGTGCTGCTGGATTTCTTCTGGGGCTGGTGTTGTGACTCGTCCATGCTTCCCAGGCAAGCTGCAGACTGCATGGATTGGGCTGGGGAAGTGCCCTCCAGAGAGCAGCTTCTCCCACACAGAAACAAGCTGGGAGTGTGTGCAGTTTGCTTCAGCTTGCAGGAGACATGCAGGATTTGACTTTCCTTGGTTTAACTTGCATTAACCTTTTCTCTATCCTTCCCTTTATCTCAGCCTTTCCCCTCTCTTTCCATGGGGATGGAGAAGCCACCCCGCCAGGACATCCCAGCAGGGAAGGCACTGGACACAGCAGAGCTTCGGAGATGTGTTCTGCCTATTTTCTTTCCACTTTTTTTTGTCCTAGTGACTCTTTGTGTCAGCCTGTGTGCTCTCAGCAGAGCCTGGGGAAGCAGTGCCTGCTGCCTAGTTAGCAAAAGGAGATCTTTAGGATGGGGGAAGAGGGGGGTGAGATGTGTGCCTGGGTTTGGATCCTTTATCCTTCTCCTGGGGAGACCTGCAACCTTGGAGGCAGCAGAGCTGATGAGCCCTGAAAACTTGGGGGTAAAGATTCTACATTCTGAGAGGACTCCAGGAGAGGAGCTTTTCCCTGGCTTGAGGTGACCTGTGACTGTCCCTAGGGCTGGTGACAGGGACCTGGCCCCGGTGATGGTCCCACATTTCCCTTTCTGGCTGTGGACTGGGAAGTGATGGAGCTGTCACTGGGCTCCTGCCTGAGCTCTCACATGCAGCCAGAAGGATTTTTCCACCCTTGTCATGACTTGATTATGTGCTCTCCTTCCTACCCAAATGCTCAACAGCAGCTAAATATAGGCTGCAGCAGTGTTGATTATGGCTTTTCTAATCGAGCTTTACACTCCAACAGGGATCTCTACTAATGGGATGTGGCATCCTTGAGAGCACCCAGCTGAGGAGCCTGCTTGAGAAGCAGATGTAGACACAATGTGACTTCCCAGTGGGATCAGGTCCTGCTGACAGTTGCTTTTGGAGCTGTGCACAGAATCCTGGTTTTGGCTGGAATAGAGTTAATTTTCTTCCCAGAAACTGGTCCAGGGCTCTGGTTGGGATTTAGGATGAGAACAATGTTGGTGACACACTGATGGTTTGTTGCTGAGCAGTGCTCTCCCTAAGTCAAGGATTTTCCATTTCCCATGCTCTGCCAGCGAGGAGGTGACAGGAACTGGGAGGGATCATGACCAGGACAGCTGATCCAAACTGGCCAGAGGGATATTCCAGACCATGGAACGTCATGCCCAGTATGGAAACTGGGGAAGTTGGCTGGGGGACCAGTTGGGCTTTTTGTGTGGTGAGAGACTGTACTGGGCACCACTTGTCTGTCTGGGATTTTAATCCTCTCGCTCTTTTCTTATGTCCATTTTCATTACAGTTATTATTATAATAATTAAATTTAACTGTATTCAGTTATTAGACTGTTCTTATCTCAAGCCATGGGGTTTACCTTTTTTCTGATTCTCCTCCCCATCCCACTGGGGAGGTTGGGATGAGCGAGAGGCTGTGTGGAACAGGGGTTCAGTCACAACACACAGGATGGTAGATTCACAAAGCCAGAGTGTGCTTGGGAATTCGAGTTCAGATTTCAGATCTAAACAGCTTTAGTTGTTTTGCTTTTTCTGATAAAATATATCACTCCCTGTAGATATACAACTTAAAATCGCTCCTCTAACAGAGTGAATTCTTCTGTTTTCCCCGCTGTGTGACTCGTGTGAGTGGCCCTGTGGGCACAAAAGGATGGAGCACTAAAATGTTCATGAGGTTCTGCAGGTGATGGAGCTGTACACAGGTATCCTGGGATTTGCATGCAAGAAGAAAGGAATGTTTTGAACTCATTTATGCAGCACAGCGACATGTTAAGCTCCATCCCCGTTGCCTTGTGCCAGTGAAATGTGTTACAATGAGAGGTACAAATGTTCTGCTGGAATAGAAACGGCTCAGGATGCTAATTCTGGCTTTGTATCTCCTGGTGCAGCTCATTTCCATGCTGATTCCCAGGGAAATGTGGTGCTTGGGGTGGGCAGGATGGTGCTGAGCACCTGGCACAGCTGTGGAAGTGCCTCTCCAGGACTGGGGCAATACTGTCCCTGTCCCATTCCCAGAGCACTCTGTGCAGCTTCACCTGGGAATTAAGAGAGAATGTGACTGATTTATATTACCAAAATTCTGATCCTAACGTTGAAATGTGCTCCCCATCCCTGCTCGGGGGACACACACTCGGGGCTGGCAGTGGCTGCTGTGGCTGCTGGTGGCTCAGCCCTGGCGATGTCCCTGAGGTGTTAGTGGGACCATCCCGTGGGAAATGGCTGCATGGCACCACTCCCACATCACTGCTCACCTCTGGGTGACATCAGACACCAACACACTTGGGAGCTGCTGCCACATCTGTAACAGGAGGGAAAACCAACCGGGATCAACGTGGTGGGGACAGGCGGCACTGAGGGTCAGGAGCTCTGGCACCACAGACTCTGCCTGCCTGACCTGCAGGACTGGAGAGTGAACTAGGATGAAATGTAGTGCTGGAACATGCAGGGAGAGAGAGGGGCTGCCCTGCAGTCTGCACTGGGAGCTCAGCTCTGCATGATCACAAGGCTGAAGCCAGGTTGGGGGAGCTGGGGGTGCTCACCTGGAGAAGGCTCCAGGGCCTAAAGGGGCTCCAAGAGAGCTAGAGAGGGACTTTGGACAAGGGCAGGGGGGAATGGCTTCTCACTGCCAGAGGGCAGGGTTAGACGGGATATTGGGAAGGAATTGTTGGCTGTGAGGGTGGTGAGGCCCTGGCACAGGTTGCCCAGAGAAGCTGTGGCTGCCCCATCCCCGGAAGTGTCCAAGGCCAGGTTGGACAGGGCTTGGAGCAACCTGGGCTAGTGGAAGGTGTCCCTGCCCATGGCAGGAAGTGGGACTGGATGAGCTGCAAGGTCCCTCCCAGTCCAAACCATCCTGGGATTTTGTAATGCTCCAAGACAGGTGGAGGATGCTGAGTCCGAGGTAGAGGGAGGGCAGTGAGAGGTGTGGAAACATCCATGGGGAATGAAAGCTCATTTTGTGAGAGGAGACCGAAAGAACTTTCCTTAATCAGCCTTGAAAAATGCAGGTGGAAAGGGGCTGGGACTTCATTATAATGGAAATTAATCATGGGAGCAAACACCAGAGAGGGGGGATAATTATTTAAGCTGAAGGTTAATGTCGGCACAAGAACAAATGAGCATAAACCAGCAAAGAATTGAATTTTGGATGGAAATTTGAAGGATCTGCACCATTCAGTGTGAGATTTGCCCATGGCAGGGGGTTGGAACGAGATGATCTCTAAGGTCCCTTCCAACCCAAACCATTCCATAGTTCTGTGATTTGGGAACAGCCCCCTTGGGGTGTGCTGGGGGCTCCTTTGGGCTCAGCTGTGGGTTCTGTGACAGCAGGGGAAAGGGGACAGCCTTGGGGTGACCCCAGCCTGTACCCCCAGCACAGGGCAATCCCTGCATGCCTCCTCACGCCACAGCAGTGCTGGGCTCTGTTCCTTTTTGTCACATTTCTGGGGTCCTTGCAGCATGGCCTGGGCCAGTGTCAGACCTGAGGAGGGCACCTGAGGTCCATCCCTTGGTGGAGGCTCTGGGGTGAAGCAGGAGAAGGGGGACCCACTCCCATTGCAGTGCTTGGCTCACTGGGGTTTTGGAGGAGGTGGTGACACATGACCACACTGCCAGCACATGGATGTGTGTCCTGGTCACCCCTGCAGATTTGGAGACCCCATCATCAAATTCAAGTGAGTTTTGACCCCACAGAGACCTTGAATTTGTGTTTCTACATGTTTCATGACACTTTTGTGAACTCTGCAGTCCCTGCTGTTGGAGTCTGGACCTTCCCTAGTGCCTGACCCTGGGACCCTGGAGTGACCTGGTTTCTACCACAAATACCTTTCTGGTGTCTTGGATGATGTTCACTGGGGGTTTTACTGTCTTAAAGGCAATTTGTATCCCTTCAATCTTGAACCTGCTGGTTTCTTTATTTGCGTAATTCAGATTACCTGTGAGTTTTGAGGTGGGGTGGGTGCTAGAATGCTTTGTGTGCTGTTTATGCTGCTTGTGCCTTGCAGCTTAAGATGCAAATCCTCATTACAGTACTGGCCAAGGGAGAGGGCTTTCCTGGGACAGCAGCAGCTTTGCAAACAGCGTGGTGCTCAACACGAGCTGGTGTGCCCAGGTGGGCAAGAAAGCCAGTGGCCCCTGGCCTGTACCAGCCATGGTGTGGGCACAGGCCCAGGGCAGTGCCCATCCCTGTGCTGGCACTGCTGGGGCACCTCCAGCCCTGGGGGCAGTTCTGGGACCCTCAGACAAGGGAGATTGAGGGGCTGGAGCGTGTCCAGGGAAGGGAATGGAGCTGGGGAAGGGGCTGGAGCAGCAGGGGTAGCTGAGGGAGCTGGGGGGGCTCAGCCTGGAGAAAAGGAGGCTCAGGGGGGACCTTCCTGTCCTCTGCAACTCCCTGACAGGAGGGGGGAGCTGGGGGGGATCGGGCTCTGTTCCCAGGGAACAAGGGACAGGATGAGGGGAAACAGCCTCAAGCTGTGCCAGAGGAAGTTTCAATCAAATATTGGGAAAATTTCATCATGGAAGGGGTGGTCAGGCTGCCCAGAGCAGCGGTGAAGTCACCATCCCTGGAAGCGTTTAAAAAAGGTGTAGATGTGGCGCTTGTGGCCATGGGTTAGTGCTGGGATAATGGTTGGACTCGGTGATTGTAGAGGACTTTTGCAACCTAAACAATTCCATGATTTTAGGAAGGGCCCTATGCTCAGTAGGCAGCATGTGTGTCCCAGAGGGGTCCTGTGAAGCCCCATCCCTCCTGCTGAAGGGCTGTGCCCTGTGTTCTCTCCCCTCAGGTCTCTGGACAGAAAGCTGCAGCGGCCGCTCCTGGGCAAGTCCCGGACGCTGCCCAGCATCCCACAGTCCCCGGTCCTGAGCAGGCTCCCCCTCCTCGACTCCACGGCCTACAGGGAGGAGATGCCGGAGCAGAAGCCCTACAAGAAGTGCTCGGCCTCTGACCACCAGAAAGGCTGCACGGTCCCTTCAGCCGGTGAGTTCTGTGGCGCCGGGATGAGCCTCCGCCCCTTCCCACTGCAAAACCCCAGAGAACCTTCCCTGCTTCTCCAGGGGCATAAATAACAAGTCCAGCTCCAGCCTGGGTGGGGTTTATCCTACTCCAAAACCAGCCCTTCTTGAAAAACTTTTGGGTTTTTTTGCCCCTGGTTGGGCCTTTCTTTGAGCTTGGTACTTAAACCTCCCCATCCCTCGTATTATGCTGATGAAAAAGAAGAGTGGGATGTTGAAAGGCACCCAAGGTGGAGAGGTGATGCCTGGAGCATTCTGCCTGGGGGTGGTGCTTGGATCTTTCTGCCTCTGGATGAGCTGCCTCTCCTGGCCACATGTGCCTGGGTGAGCTGCTCTCTCAGGAGCTCCTTGGCCTCTGCAACAGGCCCAAGTGCCTCTTTTCTGTGCCATGAAGTGGCTTCAGGGCACTCATAGATGGTCTCTGTCAGGAGCAGTGGCAGGAGCATCTCAGTGCGCTCTTCCCACAGTCCTGGCCTTGGAGGTTTGTGAATGCTCCCCAGCCTGGCAGTGTGTGTTGGCCCTCGGTTCAGCTCTGAGGGTTTTTATCGTGTTCTTCTACTCTCATGCTGATCCTGATGAAATACTAATATGGTTGGACCAGCTGCTCTGAGCAAGTTTATTGGCAAAACCGCTGGTGGCCAAAGTGTTTCAGTGCTTTTGGTGCCAGCAGGATCACGCTGGGACTATAAAAATAATGGGAAAAGGGATTATTAGCACTGAAACAAAGATAAGGCCTGCAAGCCAGGGCTGACAACCCAGCACTGAATAAAATCCTTATAAAACAGCTCCCTTCAAACAGCACCCTTGGATTTTTTTATTTTTATGTTTTTTTTAAGTCTAACCCGCTCACAGTTGGATCCCTGTGTTACCCAGCAGAGCAGCTGTCCAAACCATGGATTAATTTTAGTGCTTTGCAGGCTGCATTTTGTTTTGCGATGCTACTAATTCTCCCAAAAGTCGAGCACAGAGCAGATCTGGGATGCTGCTGAGCCCATCCTGCTGTGCTTGTCCTGGCAGAGCCCCTGGGTGTCCTGCAGCTCCTGAGCAACTGCTCTGCTGTGTTTGGGACCCACGTTTTTTCTTTCAGCTCATCAAATTGCTGGAGTGGGTCTTGGAATGGGAAGAATACCTGTAGGTAAGGTTGTGTAGCATCCACCACAAGGGATAGCATAGCACCCCTCTGCAGGTCCCTGGTTGGTGTGCTGGTTGTTCCAGGGAGCTGTGCTGGAGGGAGAGGGAGAGAGGGAGAGGGAGGCTGGTGTAAAACCGTGGGGTGATGTCCCAGAGTGAGTCAGACCCACTGCAAACTGGTCAGCCTCTGCTGCAAGCACCTCCTCTCCTGTGAGGGGCTCGAACTCCATGGAACAGCCATCCTGGAGCAAGCCCTGTGCACAGCCCTCCCTGCACAGCAGGAGTGAGGAAGAGCCCTGAGTTCACATAACAACGGTTCAGGATCTTGCTTTACTCCTGGCTGGAAGGTGCCAAGGATGCCAAGAGGAGGAGAAGGTTTAGGAAAACCCTTGTAGATTGGAAGGCTCCCTGCACAGCCAGAGCCTTGGATGAATGAATGAGGAGTTGTTTTCTGTCCAAATCCTCCCGTGTTATTTTTCTGGCTCAATTAGGAGCTGCTAATTAACTGCTCATGAAGGCTACCAGGATGCTATCATGGAGGAGAAAAAGAAGGGATGGCACTGCAGGATGGGACATCTGGGCAGCAGGACAGGAAAGGGGCAGCACGGGGCAAGTTAACGAGCCCCAGGATGCTGGCAAGGAAAACAGGATTCCCACAGGGAATTCCCACAGTTACAGTGGGGCTGCAGGGTGTCGGGAGAGAGAGGAAATGGAACAGGTTGCCCAGAGAAGCTGTGGCTGCCCCACCCCTTGGAAGTGTTCAAGGCCAGGTTGGACGGGGCTTGGAGCAACCTGGGCTAGTGGAAGGTGTCCCTGCCCATGGCAGGGGGTGGAATGAGATGGTCTGTAAGGTCCTTTCCAAGTCAAAACATTCCATGATTCTCTGATAAGTACCTTTTCTTAAAGAACTGGTGAATTTGCTTTGAGCAGGTGCCATCGCTCCCCATTTGAGACAGGGGGACATGGCCAAAATGAGCTCGGGAAGAGGCTCATCCACAGGGACATGAGGTTTGGCAGGAGCAGGGCTGTCCATGGGAGCTCATCTTCCTGGAGAGTTCACCACTCCATGGGGAGGAAACTGCACTCTACCTCACTGCTGTTTTGGGGGGCCATGAGCAGAGGAGTCACCAACCAGGGTGGGAGAAGTGAGTGAGGTGTGACATCCTCATCTGACCATCAGAACATGTTCCTCAGCCTTTTCCTTTGTGTCCCATGGTTCCAGTGTGTCAGTGCTGGAGGAGGGGTGTGTCCTGTCACTCCATGGGAGGACACAGGAAGTTGTCCTGCTGTTGCACCACAGCTCCTCTGCAGATCCTTGTGAGGGTACCAAGGTGCCTGGCGGGGAACTGGGGCCCCAAGGATGGACAGAAGAGCTGAGCCTGCGACTGCTGAGCCTGTCAGATCCTCTCCTCTCAAAAAAACCCTTCCTTTTCATTCAGAGACCGAGGCTGGGCTGGTGAACAGGTCTGGATGTCCTGTTGGTCTGGTTTTGGTTTTCCCCTTCAGGTAACCCACAACAGTGGTGTGGTCAGGTGGGACAGGCCCCAGGTTTTCCTTCTCCATCATATATCCTTCAACCCCTTGCCCGTAGCAGTGCTCCTGGACTAACCCCAAATCCTTATGGCCACAAGCCTGGGATATAGCAGGGGGAAGACAAGCACAAATGAGGCTTGATTGAACAGGGGCAGTGCCTGCCTTGTCCCAGCGATTATCCCTTGGGTGTCACACTGCAGTGTGCCAAGAGATTTCACACAGGCTGGTGGCACAGAGAAATGAGCTGCCTTTTGCTTCTCATCCCTTCTTCTCCTGGGAAATTTTAGGTGTGAGACTGAGAAAGACTCTCTGTTGCTCTCTATTCCTCCTACAGCAGGCAGGGGCTTCTTCTCAGCCTTTGCTGCCTGCAGCTCTCACCTGCAACCCTCACCTGCAGCCTGCCCAGGGAGGTTGCTGCATGTGGTTTACATTCCTGATGCCTTGCAATTCCCTCCTCTTGTACCTGTAAGGAGCAGACCACTCTGGAGCTCTTCCCTGCCTCCCTCCTCCCTTGTCTGTCAGGCAACATGCAGAGCTCTTCAGGAGCTGGCTCTGTGCCCTGCTTTGGAGCTGGGAAGAAGCGAACTGATAGCAAGGTTGGTGTGAGTTTATTGGGAGTTATGCCCATGGGAGGAAAGGAAAGAAGCCAAAAGGAAGCAGCTGGATTTGAGCTTAGACCAGGATCCTGGAACTAATTTTCCTAACGCTTGCAGGGATCATCCTGTCCATGCTCAAAGGAGGTACTGAAGAGGCACCAGGTCTCTGTCCTTGCTGCCCCCTTCATCCTTTGATGTGTGTCCTCCCCACCACTTCAAATTCGGAGGGAAGAAAGGCTTTGCAGGAATCGTTGCTGTCAAGCCCAAGAGGATGTTTAGAAGACCTTTCAGAGGTGCCCATGTTGAGGGCACAGCTCTGGGTGCCAGAGGGGTGAGCAGCTCCAGGGCAGAAGAGCATGAGGATGGTTGGCCTCCAGGCTGTGGGCTTTCTCCTTGTCCCTGGAATTTCCTCTCCAGTTTGGATGGGACACTAAACAACCTGATCTAGTGAGTGGCATCCCTGCCTATAGCAAGGGGGGTGGAACAAGATGAACTTTAAAAGTCCCTTCCAACCCAAACCATCCTGTGATTCTATGACTTCTTGATGTTTCCCTTCTGACCATTCTGGGCTTGATCATTGATTTACTTGTTTGGCAGCAATCAGGAACAAGCTCCTTCAGCACACAGAAAATCCTTTTGGGGTAGACAAGGCTCTCCCCTGCAGTGGCTCCCAGGGAGGAGGGACCACAGTTTGGTGAGGATCACCCCTTGGGGAAGCCAGGGAGCAGCTCCTGGACTGTGCTGGAGGATGCAGCTCCTGTAGCTCCTTGGAGAGAGAAGAGACCAAGAGCAGCAAAATCCTTGGGAAACTGGAGTCAGTGAGATCAGATGTGACCCAGATGAGGCTTGAAACCCAACTCCTCATCCTCGGGAGAGCTGTCCTGCACGGAGGAGAGGGTGTCCTCTCCCTTGTTCAGCACACAGCCTTGGACTCCCTCGCCCAGGGTGGCAGAGCAGGGGTGCCTGGGGCTGAGCACCCTGTGGGGCTGGGAGGGCACAGTCCTGGAGACAGAGGGTGGCACAGGCAGTGGCTGGGCCATTGCAGGTGAGCACGGGGGCACTGGGGCTGGTTCCTCCCTCCGTGTGTGATTTCCCTGCGTGACGGGTGGGTCTCCTCCCGTTTCCTGCCACGTTCCCGGGGCGATGCTGCCTCTGCCTCCCAGTCTGGATCTGCCTTCGATTGACGTGTTTGTGCGTTGAACAATCACAGCTTTCAAACAGCAGTTCCTGTGTTGTGTGAGGTGACATTTGGAGAGGAGCAGCAGCAGCTTATTAAATTGAAAGTAGGGGAGGAAAAAAACTGACAAAGTGCTTGGAGTGCTGTGCTCTGGGTTGCCTCTCTCATGGAATCACAGAATAGTTTGGGTTGGAAGGGACTTTAAACCTTATCTCATTCCAACCCCCTGCCTGGGCAGGGACACCTTCCATTATCCCAGGTTGCTCCAAACCCCGTCCAACCTGGCCTTGGACACTTCCAGGGATGGGGCAGCCACAGCTTCTCTGGGCAACCTGTGCCAGGGCCTCACCACCCTCACAGGGAAGAATTTCATCCTCATATCCCATCTAACCCTGCCCTCTGGCAATGTGAGTAGGTGGTTGCTCCTCTGGTGGCTTGTAGTCTAGCCTGTGTCCCATCATGTTCCATGTAAACCCCACAGCCTTCCTGGGTGAACTGGACTGGGGCTGGGTTTTACCTTAGGGCCATTATCCTCTTCAAATTCTGGAAGTGTTTTGCTCCTCAGCCCTGGAGTAGTGGGGTCATGGTTGTTTGTGCTCAGAGGTGCTGGGATTTTAGTAGTGAGACACTTGCCTTGGGAAGAGGCTGCAGGAGGGGCAGAGCTTCTGAAGACAACCCTGTGAGATGCACTTTTGGGCTGAAAATTGATAATTTTTCCAAGAATTGAACAAGAGGCTTTTATTGTTTGTTTGTCATGGCTTGAGCAGTGATTTTGGCTTAAGGGGGGAGGCAGGGCAAGCTCCAGATGTGAAGAAGAGCTTGGCAGTGATATTCTGGAGACATTTCCTGTTGTTTGATTGTTTTTCTCTTTTGTTGCAATGAAAATGTGGTCAGTCCTGCCCTGGGAGCACCAGCCTTGCGTGATGCTGCCTGTCCTCTGCCACTGCCACCACTGTCACAGTGTCAGTGAGGTTTGTCCCCAGGCTCTCAGCCCTGCAGAGCTGCTGGGGACAGGCTGGTGGAGACAGGAGGTCTGGCTTCTATCCTTCATGTGGCTGTTGATTTGCTCCTGGCTGTGCCATAAAGGTTTTTTTTCTGCAGGAGGAGATGGCAGCAAATCCTTTTGTAATTTGTAACATTTGTGGTGCCTCGTTTTTCACATACACAAAGCAAGATTTCAAGACCAGGTTCAGCAGGACTTGGAGCAACCTGGACTACTGGAAGGTGTCCCTGCCCATGGCAGGGGGTGAAATGAGATGAGCTTTAAGATCCATTCCAACACAAACCATTCCATGATTCTAACTATATTTGACTGATCCCTGCCAGGAAGGTGTTGGGGGCTGTAGATAGGTGGGGCTGGGCACATTGGGAGCAGGGGCTGTTGCCTGGGGCAGGGGATACTCAGGGGTTTGCAGCAGGGATGTGCCCTCTGATCCCTCCCTGGGGAGTGGATCCCACAGCATCTGTACCCCAGGGCCTGCAGGTGGGTGTGGGATGGGATGCCCACTGAGCATCCCCTGAGGTGTGCTGGAGAGTAGGACATGTCCTGGGCTGTGGATCTGATGGGGTGGCGTGTCCTTGTCCTCCCCAGGGGAGGCCTGGCGGCTGGAGGATGACTGCACGGACCCCCCCCGGGACCCCCAGCTGGGCACGGCGGTGGAGGACGCCCCGTTCAGCTACTTCCGCACCCGCTCCTTCTACATGAGGAAGAGCCTGTCCGTGGACAACCACCTGGGCTCCCTCAGCTATGCCGTGCACCCGGCAGAGACCAAGGCCGAGCGTGTCAAGACCAAGCTGCGGCGGCAATTCGTGAGTACCGGGGCCTGCCCCACCCCCACTCACACACACACGGCTTCCCAAAAACACCGACGGGGTGGAGAGCTGTTCTTATGGCCAACATTCCCAAAACAACAGACTGAGAGGCCAGCTCCAGTGTGGTGGAGCACCTGGCAGTGGCAGCTCGAGTTTGCCCACACCGTGGCAGAGCCCCTCAGCCGAGGGGGTTCCTGGCTCCCTGATCTCGGTGGGCTGTCGCTGGCTCAGGGATGGCTGGTGCTCAGCCAGGTGATGTGTGGGACAAGGGTGCAGTCCCTGGGCTGTGCAAAGCATGGAACGAGGCTGAAAGTAGGAAACAAGCTTTGCTGTGCTCAGCCTCACACGCATGAGGAACTGCATCTTCCCAATGGTTTGTCCTGAGCCAACAGTGAGGGGCTGGGGCAACGACGAGCCAGCACTCGGGGCAGCTCAGCCCTTCCTGGCCCTTTGGAGCATTCTGGTGGCCGGAGAGCCAGGACACGCCAGGGCTGCACCGCAGCTGCAGGAGCCTCTGATCAATGTTTAATGGGCTTTGCCTCTTCTCTTTCCCAGAGACACCCGATCCCGGGGTTTGTATGGCCTTGTCCTGCCTCGTTAGGGGCTTGGGGATGTAATGAGGGCTCAGGTGTCTCTGTGATGAAAAGCACTTGGTGTTGATTGGCAATGGGTGAGAGCATTGGTACAATGGGAGCGGAGTAGGGAGTGGGTGCCTGTGCACGCCGAGGTGCTGAGGCTGAGGGAGTGGGGCTCATCCTTCCCCAGGCTTTGCTCAGACACATCTGAAACCCCCAAAATCGCTGACGTTCCTCTAACCCAGAGGAGGGACTGGTCCTCCCCTGGAGCTGCTCCTGCTGTGCCTGGGCTGCGTCGCTGCTGGACAGTGTGAGTCTGGGGGCTCTCCCTCCCTGCTTGTGCTTGGGTGGATCATTGGATGTAATGCTGCTTTTCCCCCCGGAGGACAGTTCCACCCTCGAAGCGTGTTGGTGGCAGCAGTGGGTGCTGTGGGGGTGAGTCTGGGCGAGCTGGTCACGACCCAGGCGCTGCCACTGAACCATCTCTGTGGGAGCTGCTGCCTTGGCTCGGGAAGCAGGTGAAAGCTCAGGGATGGAGATGAGTGGCTGAAAGATGCTGGAGCTGTTCAAGCTGAGGCGGCCCTGCTGTGGGGTAAGACAATGTCTGCTTTGTCTGTCTGCCTGAGTCTGCGGCCCCAGGTGCACCCAGCACAGCGGGAGGGACAGGAGGGCACTGCGACACTGGGGACCATTCCTCTTGCAGGGATGTTTTTTCAGTATCTCCATGGGACTTGTTCCCCATGGCCTCCCTTCTGCACGTGTGGAAGCCCTTGGACTCTCAGCACAGTGTCCTGGTGCCTACAGAGAGGTGGGTTCTGCCCTGCCCTGTGGAGCAGCCCCCTGCCCCTGCCCACTCGATGCCATCCCAGCACCTCTCAGTGCTGTCTGTGGCCCATTTGATTTGGCCTTCGAGTTCCTCAGGTTTTGGGGACCTTTAGCTTTCCTCAGTGTATCCCTGGAGCTGAGTGTTTCTCAAGGGACAGAGTAGGACTTCTATAGGGTGTGGATTTTTTTTTTTCCCCTGCTACATCATTTCTGGTTCATTCTGACAGGTAAAAGCTGTGGTTGCTGTAGGCTTGGCTATGGTCTCTGACCTTGTGAGACCTGCTGAGAAAAACAGACTCATCCTACTTGGCAAGGGCATCCTCAGGACCCTTCAGAGGAGTCTTGGGCAGAAAGTGTGGAGGAAGGTGAGCTGGTAACCCTTACTGAGGCTTGGTCCAGTACAGGACCAGCATTCCCCACACAGCTCCAGAGCCTGGTTTGTAAGATAAAAGTAAAGGTCCTGCCAACCTGGGGAAGTTGTTTCCTAGAGCAGTTCTGGGCTCTGTGTCCTCCCAGGGCTGGGTAGTCACCTTCCATCTCCATGCTGGAGGTGTTGCAGCTTCCCCTGGGTCCGTGTTGTGCCCTCACCCTCCCTGGCACCTGCTCTGCCCAGCCCTGGCTGGTGGAGGAATTGATGCCAGGGGGAATCCACTCTCCTCATGCCTGGCAGAGCACGCACAGGAGAGAGCATGATTTGCCTTTTCCCACTGGCTCATCTGGGACCTTTTAGGAAAGTCCATGTTTAAAACTGGATTCATTTTTCCGGGCTGTTGCACTTGCCCAGCCTGTAACACTGATTCCTGGCTTTGCTCTTTCCCTGCTGACAGTCTAAACCACCTTTGCCATGCGATGTGGCTACTTGGCTTCATTTTCACATTCCCCAAAAATAGAATTTTGGGAATTGCTGAGTGAGGGGGGAGGCTCCTGAGGCTTTGGGTGGGCAGCAGGGACCCTACACTGGCAGGATGGATGGAGACAGGGCAGAGCTATTGCCCCCATGAATCCAGTGCTGTGTGGCACATCTCAAATCTCACATCATTAGGCTCTGCCTAACGAAGGCTTCGCATGCTGGTCATGGACATCTGAGCTTGTCCAAGGGAGAATTTATTACAGCTCGTGTGAAAACACTGGAGTCTGGCCTCCCTGCATCCCTGCATTTGGAGAGCTGGATGCTGCTGGGGCTGCTGAGGTGCAGAGGGAGCACCTGCAAATCCTGCCTGGCCCCGTTGTCCTGGAGCAGCCGCCCTTCCCGTGTCTGCCGGAGCCCAGCACCCCTGCCTGCCTCCCAGAGCACCATGCAGGGTGGATTTCCTCCCCCCCCATGGTGACATGTGTCTGCGGTCCCACTCTGGTGTGTGATGGATCTGCATGTACAGATTACTGGAATTTGCATAATTTGAATTTTAAATTAATTCCAATTTTTGTGATTGTCAGGACTAGTTTTCTTTCTAATAAGCCTTTCCTTTTAGCTCCTCCAAGGCCTGTAGTGCTGTCAGCGATCCCGCCCTGGAGACAGAGGAGCGGTTGATTGCTTTTGACACCTGTCTCTCACACGGATCCCTGGCCTTGTCCCAGTCACTCCGGCTGTGATGGAGACTTGACCAGGCTGGGACTGTGCTCCGAGACCTTGGTGTGTTGTTTGGGGTCACTCGGGCATGGCAAAGGCCTGGTTTGGGTTTTGTGCTCTGCTGGCTCTGAGACGGGCAAAGAGGAGCAAGGAGGGGACCTTCTGCAGTGTCCCTTGCCCAGGGGCAGGAGGAGAGTGACATGGCTGAGTTACAGACTGTGCTGATCTCCTTGTCTTCACAGGAGAACTGATCATTAAAGGCAGAATTAACCCTGTTAAACTCAGCATTAACCTCACAGAGCATTAAAGGAGGTCACTAGGCCTGAGTCACTGTCTGTGGTGGCTGCAGGGACAGTCAGTGCAGATTGCAGCAGGGCTCTGAGGGGTTGTGGGCTCTTCCCTCTTCCCCTGGGGAGTTTGAAGTCTCTATATCTAGACCAGTCATTCTGGCATTGCCCACTGACTTTGTGACATTATAAGGAAACCTTTCAGCCTGATGGCACAGATCCTGCTGCCTCTGGAAGAGGAGGAGCCAGTGGTGCCCGGGTTCCCACCAGCTGGATTTGAGGTTTCTATCCTGACCCCCCAGCTCCTCCCAAATTACATGCTGCTCCCTGTGCACGAGGGAGGAGTTGGCCAGTTTGTGCAGGGGAGATGGAGCAGATCAACCCTTGGCATTGCCATGGCATCCCTGGTGCTGCCCCAGCTGCACTTGTGCTTGCTGTACTTCCTCTGTTTTACAAGTAGGTGACTCAAGGTTGTGTTGCTTCCCTGACTCTGCACTAATTAACTTGACTCTGCACTCTCATGCACTAATTTATTTTTTAATCATCATTATTTTTTGGGTGGTATTTTTCCAGGCAGTGATTCTGATATGAAATGTCTGTGCCCTGCAGGTAACACTTAGAGCACTGTTTGTCTTGGGAGCTCTACAGATGAGCTGAGCAGAGGTAATCCCTGCCTTACAAAGCCATGATGAAAGAAGAAAGGCAAACCGGGATGGTAGAGCCTGGGCAAGGGAGGCAGCGAGGGGAGGAACTCACTGTGTGGCAGAAACTTGATCACACCTGGTGCTCACTGGAGTCACTCACAGGGACTGGGCTGGCATTGGCTGACATGTACCTGTCCAGGTTTTCCTATTCCCATGAATAATGATCAATCCAGAAATGCCTCCTGTTGCTGGTGGTCACTGTAGTAATATTGGGGAGCACATGGGTCAGTGCAGAAACCTCCTCACCCCAGAGCAGCACCAATCCGTGGGATGTGAATATCCCAGTCTGGGCTTTTGGCGCCAGCTGAGCTGGGCAGAGCCAGAGACCTAGTAGGACATTAGTAGAACTCAACTCTGCTTTATCCCAATGGTTTGGTCTCGTTCCTAAGTGTGCAGGGACTTCCCAAGTCTGTGGGGTGCAGCCAGTTGTCTCCTGTATGCAGCCAGTGCTGCAGGCTTTGGTATGATGCTGGTATGACAGTGAAGTTGGTTACCTGCTGTAACCCCACTGGTACCAGTGAAATCCTAGCTCTCTCCTTGCTGTTGGATTCTGTTCTGACACTGCTACAAACCTGTTTTCAGAAAGTGTCAGCAAACAGCCAGAAAATGCTTGGCTGTGCCTGTAGTTCAGTGTGACAAAAAGAAATAATAATAATAAAAAAATAGAATCATAGAGTCCCAGAATGGTTTGGGTTGGAAGGACCCTTAAAAACGATCTCATTCTACCCCCTGCCATGGGCAGGGACACCTTCCACTATCCCAGGTTGCTCCAAGCCCTGTCCAGCCTGGCCTTGGACACTTCCAGGGATGGGGCAGCCACAGCTGCTCTGGGCTGAACAAATGCCTGTGCAAGAGGTAGGTCAGCTGTGCTTGGTGGGGAGGTGGAGCAGAGCAGTGGGTCTCCCTGGATCCATGTACACACTGCCCCAGCCTCCTGAGCAGAATGGCAGCGAGTGCCTGAAGGAGGTGGGTGCAAAGGCAGGTGAAGGATGAGCTCTGTGTATCACTCCCTGGGCCCAGCCCCTCCCTGTCACATTGC